GTAAGTAAGTAAGTAAGTAAGTAAGTACAAGTGTGTGTGTGTGCGTGCGTGTGTGTGCTCTCCACTGTGTGTTCTCTACAGGTGGCGAGGCTCATGAAGCACGACTGCACACTGGCGAGGCATGGATCCCAAGAACAGTCAAAGGTTCATATCTGCAGGTGAGTGCTATGCTACTTGGTTGCTAAGCGACCCTGCCCATGGTTACCAATGCTACCGATCAGGGTTTCCTGCGTCAACATTTCAAAGTAAAACCTTTCGTTTCGGGAGGGGGGGGGGCGCGGATTGGGGGTTTCTCAGATTGAGTTACCTGCGAAGTAGTATACAGTCAATCTTGTGAATAACGACCCTTGGTCGGCAAGGAGAAAGGTGCTGTCATACGCGAGTTGTCGGTGTCCGCGAGGTTAAAAAAAAGTACGCCGTCAAGTGGTTACTTAGTCTGAAGATAGTGTTGGTATTCACGACGTGTTGATATACACGCGGTTGACTGTGCTTTTTGTTTGAAAAGACAATAATTATTAATTTATTATCATCGGCAAACCCGAGCGTTTCCAGAAATCCAGTATCAACAGCACACGCTTTTCAGCTTTAGCTTTCATCCTGGTGACATGCCATACCCAAAGATTTGGTGAAATGCAACGCTAAATCCAAGTGCTGGAAGTGCATGTAGCATTCGGGGGAGAGTGGGGGAGAGCGGGGGAGAGCGGGGGAGAGCGGGGGAGAGTGGGAGAGAGAAAAGCGTAAGAGAGCATGGAAAGTGACGGTACGGTAAACGTCAGATAACATTTACACTTGATTGTGGTCGGGCATCCTTGGTCTTGAGGCTTACTTGATTCCGTTGTTTTGGGTTGCCATATTCAGCCACAAAAGGGTCGATCGGGTTCCTCGTTCTCCCACCTCGGATTCATATTCTCTTTTGCTCTTGCAAGACTGAACAAATCCAGTTCTCCCAAGGATCAAGACAGCCACCCAGCTGGGTGCTCCGAAACAATGGATTAAGAAAATGAGAAGCCGAACCGTCCCATCAGGGCATAGCTTAAGGATTTCATTTAGGTCGCACAAATGTCCTTCCGTTTTGAAATCTGTCCGGACATGCCCGGACATTTTCCACAACACATTTTCAGGGTGTTTCTTCTTTTTTTAGTAGTACTGAAGTATATTCACAATGACTCAGTATGTGGACGTATCTCACACATTACTATGTACAATTCGCCAATTTATTTGTATTAGAAACTGAACTATTTACTGACGACAAATGTATGTACAAGAAAGCGTTGCAGTCAAGAATTCAGGTGCAGCTGATATTCTTACTCCGCGAGGAAGGCATCTCAGTCTTCCAGGTCAAGTGCATCGCTCATCTCACGCCTGAGACTACGGTGTACGTGTTAGTTGTACGATATGCAAGTCGCATTTGGCACGAAGCTCCGAAGAAAGCCCAACTCTGCATAAAAAGGTCGAAAGGTCGCTGCTCTTTTTTTTACTTTTTTGACCGGACACTATGTCCGGTGAAATTGAAAATGTCCAGTCAGTGGCCGAAAATGGCCAATGTCCGGCCGTTAATCTATGCCCTGCCCATTGATGATGATGATGTGTGTATATGCATGTTCATAATGACTGCACTTTTCGTAACTTTCATTGCGATTCTTAGATTATTGTCTCCTTGTCGACTTTTGGATTAAATTGGTAGATATAGCATAGCTTGGGATTTGCTGCTGACAGTGCCATCCCCACCATGGGCTTGCACTGGTGCTCTCTGCTCTCTTCCTCTGTTCTAGATTGACTTTGGTAAGGAGAAGAGCATCACAGGTGTAATTGTGCAGGGCAAGTACAAGAGTACATACTGGACGGTGAGCTATGCCGTGCACGTACTCGGCGTCGACAACACCTGGTCGCCGCTGACCGAGAACGGAGCACCCAAGGTAGCCTATGCATGCTTGATGGTGTTTGCTGCAGTGTGTGTGTATGCTGCAGTGTGTGTGCATGCTGCAGTGTGTGTGCATGCTGCAGTGTGTGTGCATGCTGCAGTGTGTGTGTGCATGCTGCAGTGTGTGTGTGTATGCTGCGGTGTGTGTGTGTATGCTGCAGTGTGGGTGTATGCTGCAGTGTGGGTGTATGCTGCAGTGTGGGTGTATGCTGCAGTGTGGGTGTATGCTTGTGTGCGTGCGTGTGTGTGCGTGCAGAGTGCATATGCAGGGATAGCTCGTGTCTGTGTTTCGGAGAAAAGGAGTGTGTGGTGAGAGACAGCGAGTAAAGAGTATGAAAAGCGTGCGAGAGCGAGGGGGAGATATAGCGAGAGAGCGAAGACGTGCGACCGGGAGAAAGAGAGAGTGTGAGAAAGAGACAGAGAGCATGAGAGAGTGAGAGTGAGAAAGTGGGAGGGAGAGGGAGAGTGGGGAAGAGAGTGCGAGAGGAAGAGAGTGCGAGAGTGTGAGAGGGAGCAAGAGAGAGAGAGAGTACGAGAAAGAGAGGGGAGAGTACGAGAGAGAGGGAGAGAGAGAGGGAGAGTACGAGAGAGTGAGAGAGAGAGAGTGCGAGAGTCAGTCACTCGAGGCGTGACATTCTCTATTTCTTTATCCAAAGCCTAATTTAATGTGTACTACTTCAACAGTGTTAGATTGGAGAGTGGGGAAGAGAGTGCGAGAGGAAGAGAGTGCGAGAGTGTGAGAGGGAGCAAGAGCGAGAGAGAGAGCGAGAGAGAGAGCGAGAGAGAGAGCGAGAGAGAGAGCGAGAGCGAGAGCGAGAGAGAGAGCGAGAGCGAGAGAGAGAGAGAGAGCGAGAGCGAGAGCGAGAGCGAGAGCGAGAGCGAGAGCGAGAGCGAGAGAGAGAGAGAGAGAGAGAGAGAGAGAGAGAGAGAGAGAGAGAGAGAGAGAGAGAGAGAGAGAGAGAGAGAGCGAGAGAGAGAGAGAGAGAGAGAGAGAGAGAGAGAGAGAGAGAGAGAGAGAGAGAGAGCGAGAGAGAGAGAGAGAGAGAGAGAGAGAGAGAGAGAGAGAGAGAGAGAGAGAGAGAGAGAGAGAGAGAGAGAGAGGGAGAGTACGAGAAAGAGAGAGAGGGGAGAGTACGAGAAAGAGAGAGAGAGAGAGAGAGAGAGAGAGAGAGAGAGAGAGAGGGGAGAGTACGAGAAAGAGAGGGGAGAGTACGAGAGAGAGGGAGAGAGAGAGGGAGAGTACGAGAGAGTGAGAGAGAGAGAGTGCGAGAGTCAGTCACTCGAGGCGTGACATTCTCTATTTCTTTATCCAAAGCCTAATTTAATGTGTACTACTTCAACAGTGTTAGATTACCAAGCAATTGCTGTTGTATGTCTCACGCTGCTCTTGCTTTCTGTTCAGATGTGCGAGGGCAATACCGATTCGTCGACGGCCGTCATCTGCGTACTGGACTGCACTAATCCGGTGCAAACAAGTGCTCTTCGTATTCTGCCGCAGACCTACAACAACTACGTAGCCATGAGGGTGGAGATCATGGGATGCTCTGGCAGTACTATCTTGGCGTAGGCACACGTTACAGGTCCTGTGCGTCCTCCTCCTGCTGCTCCTTCTGCACTCATTTTCCCTCGGAATGTGTCGCATCGGTACATCTCAACTTCACCGTCCGGCTGTGTGTTGGGTGGATGAGACGATCGACTCTTCTTCCAGTTTTACCATTTCCGCCCAGGTGCACTTTCCAGCCACTTGATGTTCGATATGAATTTACATCATTAAGCATTTCAATTAGTTCCTAGGATTTTTCATAGTTCATGACCACAAGCCATATTATTACGGATTTCATTATTCACCCAATTTCAATTGTCACATAAATATACATGTATGAATGCTGTGCATCAAACACCGAAGAACTTCTGAAGAACTTTTAAAATCACGAAGCGTTTTGCAGCTGATTTCACTGTCTGCTGTTTCCGAGAGCTTTCAAGGCCTTCAGTTCAAAAGTTTCCACCGAGACATTCACCAAGGAAAATCCCGCCTTCGCCGTGCACCAGTTCATATCCCGGTGCTCGTAAGTCTAGGGCTGCACGGGAGGATTTGACGGATTCAACAGATCCATGTTTGCGCTGCTCGCGAAATCGGGCAAACATTCGTGCTTTTCTTGCCGCAGTTCAAAAATTCCGGGCCTGTTCGCGAGTGCCCTTGACAACCAACGTTTTGAGTGCGCCAGTCTTGCCTACCATGCAAACCCCATTTTTTGACCAGCTGGAGTTCAAACCAGCGGGGAGTCGTTAGATACCGCATTTTTTACGGCTCCCTGGTTTGCACTGGTCAGCTTGGCAGGGTCGGATCCAGATTCAGGTTCCACATTTGAATGCTGCCTACAAAAGTCGCACGCGGAAGAAGAATGTGGAGCTCAAGAACGCCAAAAAAATTGTTCATCTCACTCAGGAATGATCGCAGACGGCTTTCAGTGCACCCACCTTTTTCTTTCTTTTTCGAAAATAGCGTATCGTATTGTATTGTAGTGATTTGGTTTAAAAAATTCACCAGTTGTGTAGTCTTCGGGGTGCTAAGTTGAATGGTCTTGGTCCGAGGAAGCTGAGACGCTCCCTTCCTTCTATATTCCCAATCGAACTCGTCACTTCCACCGAAAACTGGGTGACTGCGCCCTTAACGCTAGATGGGGATTTGTATGCAGAATGTCACTAAAAGCGCGATTTCGTTCTTATAAAAGCACGGATGACCGCGATTGGTCCATATTATGTTGTAGTCTTTTGGATGCCGAGTCGACTGGTTTTGGTCCATGCAGCGTTCGGCCCTTATTCCCATCGAACATGGTTGGATAAGCTTACATGGGGGTTATGTACTCTTGGTGTTATACATGAACATGCGCATTTGACCAATTTAGCCCGATTAATACTTAGTGGCAGACACTTCGAAAATACAGACAATAGGGTCAACCGGGATTTCGTGTGACGTCAATTTGCATAATAGGCGATTCAGACTACGGCCGAAATCACGTGTGAACTTGAATTTCCATGGTGATGCAGTCGTGTTTCAAAAAATTTATGCACAATCGTGGATCAAATACGTCTGAATCGTAGAAACGTGATCACAGGTGGCCGTAGTCTGAGTAGCCTATGGGTTACTGTATAATATGTGCTCAAACAGATTGCAAAGTAGCTTTTCTGCTTCTTTTTTTAAATAATAATAATATCTTTATTAGGATGACCCAGAGGCTTGTCGCCTAGACGGGAACCTGCCTCTTGTACAGGCATAAGTAACACAATGATACAATAAAAACATGGACCATACCAGAAAAGCAATGATGACGAGGCATTTTCTGCTGCTTTCCGAGTAGCAATTTTACTACAGGTGTCATCGATTGGCGAATCTGGATGAGTGCGAGCAGGCGGTGTGATCTGAGCAACGCTGGCCCAATCGAACAAAACAAGGGTGTAGTACGCAAAATGTACGCATATCGTTCAAAGATTCTGTGAAAGCTGTAAAAAAACGCCAAAGTCCATTTCCACTCCACTGGATGTTCGTCAGCGCGCGACTCTACTGTAGTTTACTAGTACATGTAGTGAGATCCACACCAGAATGAAGAAGTTTCTGGGCAAATCAACGGCTGATAAGTCCAAAAATAAGGCTCGCGTCGAGTGTTGTGCAGATCCGAGGATGGAAGAAAATTCTGTCCCTTTGGAAAAACGCGGCCAAGAATTCAAAATTCTGCGGCAAATTCCGCGGGGAAAAGAGGGGTTTTCCGCGCATTTCTGCTGTAAAATCAAAAATCTGCGGCACTTTCTGCAAGTTTTTCACCCTCCTCGTAGAGGATATGACAACTAGTCGCATGAAGGAGCACTTTCATACTATCCTTTGCAGTCACAAACTGAATAAGAGTGAAGAATCTTGGAGAGACCTGCACTGGCAAGAGAAATGTGCTCAAACTGATCGCAAAGTAGTTTTCTGCTGCTTTCTGAGTAGTAATTTTAGTAATTTACCCTAAAAAAATTCAGATTCCGCGGGCAAAAGTGTGGATTCCGTGATTTCCGCGGATGATGGCAACTTCTGCGAAATTTGCCGCGGCCGCGGAATCGCGTTTTTCCAAGGGGACAGAGAATAAAAGGTGTCGTGCAAGCTCCTGTCAGGCAGTTAGTTGAACACAGTCGAGTACGAGCGCAGCACACGTGCAGGATTTATGCTGTAGATCTATGACACGTACCGCACTATAGTACAAGTACCAAAATCGCCCGCAATTTCACTACGAAGTGATTTGGCTTTTTTTAACATTTGGCATTTTTTAACAAATGTGTAAAATTTGCTTTTCTTCTGGCTGTTTCTCTGCTCCGGATGGCTGTATCGAAACATGGGTGGTGGCAAATGAGAGCCAGTTTATCGTAGATCAACATTGACCACAAAATTTGGTGCATATAATTTAATTCTCCCTGCCACGTCGGTATACCTAGTGGTGGGTGCTTTGCTGTTTTTGCGTAAAATGTGTAAAATAAGCCCCTGAATGCACGAGGAGGGCAGTGAATTACTTCCGCAGGGCCTTTGGACGACGTCAGGCCGTCTTGCCATCACTAAAGACAACAATGAAGAACAGTAGGTCACGGAATACACTCTGTGAGAACGAAAACCTGGCTGCGATGCTATGCTACCTACCGTATTATCTCTAATATAAGCACAGTCTCCAATAAGAGAACACCTTGGGGCGGCATTCAAAAAATAAAGTGCTCAGTCTCCATTAAAAGCACACTGTGTAAATTCATTATCTGTATGGTATGGCATGGTATTGATTTATATGAATTCGGTATCTCAACAGTACATTGTACAACTTGGGAAGATCCGAATGACATAGATCCGTACCGGTGAAAAACCCTGAAATGTGTGTGTCTGACATGAATTTGGCATGGCAACATGCCTCTGAAAATGAGGTTGAAATAATAATGGAACAGTCTCCAATAAAGGAACGTCTCCATTAATAGCACGGGGCGGAGGTACATTGAAAAAATAAAGGACCGTGCTTATATTAGAGATAATACGGTATCCAATTCTACCGTATGACACAGCCACTAGTTACAAATACAAAAACACGGCTTTGCGGCAGCATACAATGCAGTTGACAGATTAATTTTCATCCACTAGCATTCCTTGAAGTGATATCTATCAACTTCAGAACATTGATGACCGAATATCCCAGTTTGTGATGCCATTTTACAAATTTGTTAAAAAATGACACACCAATTATTTGAACCCTGAGAATACTATGGAAGTAGGACATGATTCAAGACACTTTCCAAAGTGGGATCATTCCCATTTTTTGAGACAACAGGCATGAAGGATAGCACTTCCACTTGCAACAATTTATTTGGACGTAGCTTGCCTAGAAGTGGCTGAAAAAACATCATTTTACAACCATGTTAAAAAAAGCCAAATCACCTCGTACAATAATCCCACAATGTTTGACAAAATCTGCAGTATTCCCGACAAGGTGTGCCATTTTACCTCGCAAGTAAGGGCATGTTCGATTGGTAAGGATCGGGATCGGGATCCAGATCTCAGATCCTCGGATCCTTCAGATTCAACTGAACACTTTATTTTGGACCTTGAGGCTTGACTGTTGCCATGTTGAAAATGGCGCTCACAAGGCACCCAAAAGGGTGAACGTCGTACTCATCCCGTGCGTCGTAAAAAAGTCAACAAGCTCCATCTCCATCCACGTGTGCGTACCACAATGTGTACAAAAATGATTTTTACCCGCCAGATACGCACAAAGGTCACATTTGGATCCGGTCAACCCTGCTCTCCGAGGAGGATTGACCGGATCCGACCAATCGAAAGGGTGCGAATCCAGTGGATCGGAATCCCGATCCTACCAATCGAACACGCCCTAAGTAATCCCACAATATTTCCGAAATGTCTCCAGAGGTTTCTGGAGGGACAGGTTCTTCCATAGACAGTGAAAGCATCAAGCACATACACCTACTGCAGTATATTACGCCATGCAGGCTGGGACAAAAGTCACATAAAACTTCGAAGGACAGCCGATTTGTTGTTCCAGAGTACCCTGGACACTAATACAGTACAGGTATTAGTGTCTTGCGCTCAGACCGGGTCTAATTCAATACTGGTATAACAGCTAGGATGTCTTGCACCCATGTGATCACACATTCACAGCCGCAAAACTTCAGGCAATGTCCTGTTCTTTAGGAAAAACGCGGGAAAGAATTCAAAATTCCGCAGGGAAAACGGGGATTTTCTGCAGCAAAATCAAAAATCTGCGGCACTTTCTGCAAGTTTTTCACCCTCCTTGTAGAGGATATGACAACTATTCGCATAAAGGCCGATTCACAATACAACTTTCTGCGACGCGACATACGACACTTGCGACAGCGACACACGGTTCACAATATTCTTCATGTTTGCGACATCCTCATGCACAAGTAATACCATGCACGTGCACCCAGGTTCAAAACTGTACTCCATTTGTGCATGTCGCGTGTCTCACGTTGCAAAAGTTGAACTTTCTTCAACTTCTGCGACAGGTGCATTGCGACAGGGAGTTTCTTGTCGCAACTGTCGCAAATCGCGTCGCAGAAAGTTGTATTGTGAATTGGGCTTAAAGGAGCACTTTTCATACTACCCTTTGCACTCACAAACTGAATAAGAGTGAAGAATCTTGGAGAGACCTGTACTGGCAAGAGAAATGTTCTCAAACAGATCGCAAAGTAGTTTTTCTGCTGCTTTCTGAGTAGTAATTTTAGTAATTTACCCTAAAAATTCAGATTCCGCGGGCAAAAGTGTGGATTCCTTGATTTCCGCGGATGATGGCAACTTCTGCGAAATTTGCCGCGGGCGCGGAATCGCGTTTTTCCAAGGGGACAGAATGTCCACACTCAGTCACAGGGTGAATAAAACCGGATGTAACATGGCCTGAATATCACACATGAACACGGAGAAAATTGTACTGGATTGGAGCTGATGTGCAATCATGATTATTGCAAACAAAGGTACTGAAGATATTTTCCAAAAACAAGAAGATCCAAAAAGGTGAATAGGATTACATAGCAAAAGAACAGGATCATCAACTTCTCTCAACGTCAGGGTAGGAGATCTGAAGACAAAGATGAAGAAAAGGACATGAACATAATACAAGTCAGCACAACTGTTGCTGCAAGACTAAAAATGAGCTACAAGACAGATCAAAGTTTACAGCCAGCTCAGCGCCCAGTGGTTGACAGCATCTTCTGTGAACAGCGAAGAGACCGTAGTCAAATCAACTTGGACACAGATCAGGTCAAAGTGAATTGCTCCATCCTCACTGGCTACGTACACTACAGGATTGATGAAAATCCCACTCACAAGCAATAAAGGTGCATATTGCTGGGGAAGTGCAAACCCACAACCGAATATGTGGAGTCTGCTATTACACATGACAAAAGTATAGAGGAGAGCATGCTTACCAGACGCATTTCCAGTAGGGTTACAGGGCCTGCGTGCGTGAGAAACCAGACTTCCTGTGAGCAAGGAAACAAAGACACACTGTGATCAATGCCAGTATGCGCAAAATCAACTAACAGTATAAAATGATGTGGAGTGATCAGAAATGTTAAATCATCCTTGGTTTCAAGACCCAGCACCCAAGAACACCAAGCCAACACACAAACACACCGAAGCATGACGTGCGTGAAAAGATGCCCAGAGCACGGGACCCCTGACCGCAAAACAGCACTGTCGCCCTCCGCACATGACACTGAGTAGAAGCCGAAAACCGACTGCAGCCAATGCCACGCACAGCGCACTTGCGTGCACACACCCAGACATTACATCAAGACGTGCGGCTGACTGCTAGACTGTCAAACCCTACGAGAATGGATAAACAGTACGCATCATATCCTCCTTCCCAAAATGGCTGCACATGTGACTATTCTACAACCACATTCAACAGCATGTGGCTACAGAATACGAATAACATCCATGTGCTGACCACACCGGTCAGATGAAAAAGCAGCAAACTTACATAATCAAACATGCAGACACACCATCTGAATTTCCCAATGTCTTTATCCAGATTGTTGACCCTGAAAGAAAATGAAAGCAAAATACAGAGGTGGGGGATGTCAGTACAATCCACAGATACTATACATCGAAGCAACAGAAATACTTCACGACAACGTTTGCATGTGGGGATCTCAGACAAGATCGGAACAATGTGCTATATCATAACATAAAGCTCAAAGTAGGTAAGATTGTTTTATCATCACCGATCCACCCATAATTCGTGCTGTACCAAACTGTGTAACACAATACAAAAGATTGAGGAGTGCCACCTTACCATATCGACCTGGTGGTTTCAGTGATACCAAGCTTGGTGGTGGAGAGACTGCTCCATGAAGGATAGATTGCAAGCTGCAAGAACAAAGCAATGCGATACTGGGAATTGGATCTTTGAATATTCATTTTGAAAGGATTTACGTATTCCGCTGCACACATACATAAAGCTAGCCAAAAGCGATTGTCAATATCCAACGAAGGCCACATAAAATAATTATGCAATAATTTGTGGATCTCAGACAAGATCGGAACAATGTGCTATCTCATTGCATATAGCTCAAAGTAGGTAAGATTGTTTTATCATCACCGATCCACAAAATCAACCATCTCCAAAAGATATGCCTGCTACAATTACGAAAAAGAAACAGTCTTACCTCCTGAAAAGCATTCGGTCTTCAGTAACACTTGGCCAAGAGTCATGGATCTGGAGCTGCATACGAAAAATGAAAAAAAGGAGATGCCACGCGGTCAATGCAAAGGAAGTAATTCCACAAATAATCCAAACATGCAAACACTTTCACGCCAGATACGACAGTTGGCCCGCTAGCTCAGCGCCCAGTGGTTGACAGCATATTCTGTGAACAGTGATGAGACGCTCAGTCAAATCAGCTTGGACACAGATCAGGTCAAAGTGAATTGTTCCATCCTCACTACCAGGCCGGGAAAGAACGAACACTTTCCAATCTCTTTTTTTCACAGACGCAAGAGACATATCCTAATCTAAGACGTACCGATTTTTGGGATGCTTCCGAAATAGAGGCGAACTGATACGGATCACGATTTCCTTCAACTCTTCACAACCTGAAATCAAAGAAAGCAAATGGCAACAAAATTACCAACTTTGCGAATATTGCATCATCCCCGGATTCGAGGTAGGAGTCCCCTTTCCACGAGACAGGTACAACATTTTCGTTGCTCATAGTCTACAGATTAGGCATGTACACTGTCAAAACACAATACATAAAGCTGCTACGAAGTGATGAAAAATGAAGAAGAAGAACATTCCACCGTACAGACGGAACATGCATGCAACAAACAATACAGAAAAAAGGATCTTACCATGTTTATGGTGAAGTCGTAGTTAGAAGCCGAGGCCGGCGAGCGCCATGATATTAGAAGCAATCGCGTCATCCGGACGGAAAGAGCAACGTCGGTGAAGAGGACATAGCACGAGGCAGAGATGATGATTTTCTTCTTACGGAATGTTTTGTAGATAGAGCAAACAGTCCTCGGCTAGCGTACAGCAGGATCAAAAGCCGCAAACGAAGCTGAGAATTGCAGTTGAGAGTGTTGAAAGGGAGGCATGACGGGCATCATCACAGCAAACTTCAGGCCAGAAAAGAACACACCACCAGAGTAGACGACGCGTCGACGGGGCAAGGTGAGAAAGAAAGAAAAACTGCTGTGAAAGCTGAGCAAGCGCAGTGGGCTCTTTTGTTCCTTTCTTGGTCGCTTCTTGGTCCGCCATTTTAGTAACCAGGGCTACGGATATGGCGTCGGGTCGCCAAAAATCCTCTGAATCCAAAAAATCAATGACATTTTTTTCCAGTTTGAAATCTTTGAAAGCAATGACTATGTTGCCGCAGTGAGTCAACACCATTGTACCAAGGAAGAAAAAAGCACACAATATTCTGGCATAACAATCCTTTTCTTACTTGTTGTTGACGTGGCCGTGGATAATAATCACCTGCAGACGGTGTGGGGTTGCGATAGAACTTGTTCAAACACCATCTTCCGGCAGACTAGGCTTTGGCGTCTGAGGTCGTGATGTCCTTGGCAGAGACGAACACTCGAATCGAGCGTATTGAAGCCATCGAGAAGGTGAGCAAGAATGACTGCAAGCAACATTTAGCCTGGCTTGAAAGCACGGAAACTTGCTTGGGGTGCTTGCTGCTTCTTAGCTGATATTCAACTGGTGTTCACTGACAAAGTCTGTTACATCTGCAATATTGTTGCCAAAGCTAGCGCTTCTGAAAAGTAGCACTTTTTAATTTGTGTAACATTGAGAACGCAAACCCATCGTCAGCCTAGCCAATGCCTGAGAGATAGCGGTGTCACCACCCCCGAACCCGGTGGTCATACACTGTATGCGTGCAGTAGCAAAAAAAACATTTGCACGCCACTGAATATGATAGAAGATTGGTTCTGCACAAAGCAAGTTCCTGCAGTGGTTACAGTTCTCAGCGCGAAACTGGCCTGGCGCAAAACTCTCTCTCTCTCTCTCTCTCTCTCTCTCTCTCTCTCTCTCTCTCTCTCTCTCTCTCTCTCTCTCTCTCTCTCTCTCTCTCTCTCTCTCTCTCTCTCTCTCTCTCTCTCTCTCTCTCTCTCTCTCTCTCTCTCTCTCTCTCTCTCTCGGCGTGACTTTTCACCGTAGATCTACTCACCATTAATGCATTAGGCATACAGGTAGCACCGGGTCAAGAGAACATGTCCTTTCAACAAGCACCGGATCTGCACGACCGTTATCATTGCATCTTACTCTGCATGTGCGAGTTGTACGTTTGCCAGTGGAGTTGATCCGCTGGCCAACGCACAACTGGTCTTCCATCACCTGTACATACTGATAGTGCAGTGTCCTTTCCGAATAGGAAATACTGTACTGTAAGGCCAGTACTGTTAACGAACATTTAATTCTTGACTAGTTTGAGGGAAAGACCCCAAACGGGAAAGGTCTGAACATTTAATTATAACGATTTAACGAATTTAAGAAATTCGTTAACATTTGAAGTCGTTATGTACAAAACGGTATGTACCTGTACAGTCATTTGCCCGTTTTGAGCCGGAATTCGTTAGAATTTCACCTCGCTAACCCACTAAAATCCGGAGATCGTTAATTTTAATCGACGTTAGAATATCTGTATGTCTTTCAGTAGGCGCGCACAGTATGGTGTTGCTCTTGTCAGTCACCCTTGCAGGGGTTCTCTCACAGTGCACAGTCTAACCTCGTTAGGACCAACACCAGGGAACCAATGGTGTTGGATCGCAATACTACCGTAGTAGCGGAACTTCTTCTTGTCCATATTCACGGTGATCTATCCAGTAGGGATGTGAATGCTAGTTCTTCTAAATCAAACAATTCTTCTTAGCAGTGTTCTTCTTAACGATGTGTTTTTCACTGTGTACATGTAATAAATGTATGATTGTCATGTTTGGTTTTCTATTGAAGGAGATATCCTTGGCGTTGGAGTCGGCCGGAATGGCCGTGACGGAGCTCGCAAAGGAGACGTCGTCGCAAACAATGGCCAATGCGTATGCCACCAATTTTCTCCAGCATCTGCAGGTGTGTAGCATCGAACTCATGCTTGCACCGTTTTCTGTTTCGTGATCAAGCTCCCTTTCATCCATATGTCCCTGTGTATGGGTGTGAACATGAAGTGTGTCTTTGGCTGAGTGTGCATGAGGTGTGTGTGTGGGGGGGGGGGGGGGGGGTATGCATCCTGAAGACTGTGTGAGTCAGAGAGTTGTCTTTGTCATCATCTGGCTCTGCTTTATCTTTGAACGTGTGTGTGTGTGTGCTTGCGACATTGTGTCTCTCTTGATAGGTCTGCCGCGTTTATACACAAACACACACGCGTGCACACACAATCTGCTGGTGCTGTTTCTCACTCTCCCGTATTTCTCCTTGAAGTCTGTTCTATATGCCCTGTTTGGTGCTGGTGTTGCTTTGTTCTGGTGTGTTTAGAGGGTTGAGACTGGCCTGTCCGAGCAGATTGCCTACCTTGGACAAGTGTCCTCGAGCAGTGTGTGCGGCAACACGCCCCGCCTTGCAGAGCTTGTGAGTACCCTGTGTGTGTATGTGTGTGTGTGTGTGTGTGTGTGTGTCTCTCTCTCTCTCTCTCTCTCTCTCTCTCTCTCTCTCTCTCTCTCTCTCTCTCTCTCTTATTCTCCTCAGAGCCACCAGCCTTCTTTCATTCCTTCACCAACCTTGTTTCTACTCATCAATCTCTTGTCACTGTTGCATTCTTTTTGTCTCTCCATTAAAGGGGAAGTCCGGTGAAAAATTTAAATTTCAGGGTCGGTAGAGTTTCGGGCGCTGAGTCGAATGGTGTTGGTCCCACGTGTCTCCGACAAAGCGTTCTCGAGATATTTCCGTTTGAAAAACTGAGTTTCGGGGGCTGCGCCATGACGTCATGCGGCCGCGCCACACCCTCCGCAACGTCATAGCGTGCAGCTAGGTCAAAAGGAGTGCGTGAAAGCAATAGTGTCAGTGCTATTTCAAATGATTTGGCGACTGATATTAGCTGGTGCAAGCGATCCCGAAGACCTAACTCCTTGTGAGAGTGAGGATGCAGCCATGGCTGACCTTCATGAGTTTGGTCTGGGGCTGAGAACCTCGGTATTCAGCTGAAGAAATGGCCGCGCGGGCCGGTCAAGAGTGAGCGCTCTGAGTTTCCGACTGATGAAGAAACAGCAGCTATTGCAGACGAGGCTGATATAATTATCAGATCGCTGGAGAGCAGGGTCGCCAAAATGGAGAAGAGTGATGCGAGTGCTCTAAATGTTGTTCCATACCGATTCACTTAGACTCCAGTAGCCTGCCACATGGTGATGTTTTGGTGCGAACTTGGCATATTTCGGACTACTCAATTGGAGAACACTGCAGGCTCTTTGAACCACGGGCACGACTCTTCGCTCGCAACGCTATGGAATCTGAAAGTTCTAGGTCCTGGAGCTGTTCGCTGTTTTGTCACTTGTCACGGTTGTGCACTCATCGCTGTAGCATAAAATAATGAGGCGGGACTGGAGCGGAAAACTAAAATTTTCTTTCTCAAAGCACAACCACCGGCACCGGCAAGGAGAAACGCACGTTCTCTGACTACATGACTGGACGACTGATGCGAGTGTAGTACATGACAAGTCCGTGCGTTGACTAGTTTTCTGAGTCTTGTGTTTGGACTGGAGTCTTGTTGTAGATACTACTAGTACTAGCCCAGCACGGCAGTGCTGGAGTAGTTCCGTGTGTGATGAGCTTGTTGACTGCACTACAGCTAGCATGCACGTTGCACGCAGCGCATTGCTAGAGCCGTAGACTAGACTAGACGCCATTGCATGCTGACGGAAAAAGTCCAACTCGGAAACGGCTAAAATACGGTATAACCTCGAGGTTTAGCGAGCTGAAAATCACAGGGTACGTAGTGTTTGTAACACTGAATCGAATGGTCTTGGTCCGAAGAAGATGCGACAAACGGTTCCCCAATCGAACGCGCTCCGAATATGGCCATTTTGTACACGACTAGATGGTGTGGCTACCTGGCTGCACGCTGTGACGTCATCACCTGGATCTGGGTGATGCGCGCTCAAATTCGCACATGTTCGATTGGGCGTATCTGACGAACCATAGGCCGCAGCCTCCTCGGACAAAGACCATTCGACTCAGCGACCCGAACTCTACGGACTGTGAAATTTAAATTTTTCACCGGACTTCCCCTTTAAGTCATTCCGGCAGCAGCCCTGGCTGTGTGTAAGAGGTCTCATTCATGCTACTCTGTGTGTTGTTTTTGTTGTCGGCGTCTCCGTCTTGCAGAAAGTAGCGCACACCAGTCAGTGTGCGCGCGACGCCCATCGCCTTCTGGAAGAACGGCTGGCGGCGGCCAGTGGCAAAGTAACGCGGTACAGCTGTGAAGAGGGTGTGCAGCGTGGTGCCGCAACTGCTGCTGCTGCTGGACAATCTGCCGGAGAAGGAGGTGGTGCAAGCGCTCCAGTGAGAACAATAGCGACAATAACAGTAGCCAAGGGCGAAACTCTAATGGACGTACTATAGGCCCAGTTGCTGAACAAATGTCCGTACATGCGCTTGGAGCGGCGGAAGCGTCGATGCTCACTGTGACCGAGAGAGAGAGAGAGAGAGAGAGAGAGAGAGAGAGAGAGTGCATGCGTCACACAGCAACGTGACACGGTGCGTGTGCGAGTGTGCATGTCCCACCACTGCTGGCCGCAATGCCGCCTCCTGGAGCGCTCCTGTTCCATCTCCGGTGTGTTGTTCTTGTTGTGGACAGTTCGAAGCGTGGCTGTAGCAGCCTTGGCCCAATACCGTGGTGTTGTGAATGCGTGCGCGGACCGGAGACGCTCCCGACACTGCTGCGTTGTAGGACAACTAGAGTTTTGTGAACGCCTCTTCTGCTACCAGGGCTGGGCTGGAACACACTCGTGTCGGCGGGCGGGCGTGAACCGTGAAGTTACTTTACGTCCAGTCACTGCATCTGTTGAGATGGCGCAACCGCTAGCATGTGTGTTGCAGGCGGTGATAGTAACTGTGGCCGGCGATTGAATCTCCGGCCGGGCGTGCCACTCCAGTTCGCTGCTACTATGTGTGCTGCAGGCGGTAGTGGTAACTGCGGCCGGCGATGGAATGCACCGGCGTGCCATCACAGCTCAGTGTCCGCCGCCGCGGTGGCAGTACTCTGCACTACCCTGCACTACTCTGCACTACTCTGCATTCACCTCGACTGCCAGCCTCGGCAGCAATACCATCGCCAACTGCCATGCGGCGCTTTGCTTTCAACACTGAATTGCTGGTCAGCCGTGGCCACTCAATCTCATACAGGATGTCGACATCGGAACTCTCCACGCAAGCTTTCAGCGTGTCACTATTCACCCGCTGGAGTTGCACGGCCGCAGAGTCACTCACCATGGAACAGCATATCTAGAGCTACTGGAATGTCTGTCTGGGTTTTTCCTGGTATCTTGCACGTACACCGTATGCCCTGCCTGGCAATAGCTACTCTCTGTGCCGTTCCTCTTTCCACTGAACACACAGTCCATCAGCTACTACAAACTCTCCTATTGATTTAGTTGAGAGCGTAACACTGACCCGCTCCTGGCCTGGACTAGCCATTACAGTCGCAACAAAACAACATTGACGATCTTGCTGCCCTAGCTTCTGCAGTCACACCCACATTGACAGTCAGGCTGTCGTTAGCCATTGCAGTTAGCCGGGGCTGCTGTTGTTGCTCCACGCACACATGATTGTTTGCTTGCTTCTGACATGACTGACCTTTACCACCTCCCTCCTATCTCTTCTGTTGACCTGCTACATGCAGTAACCATTGGTAATTTTGTCTTTGAAGTTTGTCCTGCTCCCCTATAAGTGCATGTTAGATGTATGTGTCTGAACACGAGCAGGCAGTGACAGGTGGCTGGCCCGCTTCTCCCCTGATTTATCTTGATTTTCCCCTGCAGAAACTCATTTCTATTTACTTCAAAGTAGCATTATCTTTCTTTGTTCTGTGAGTCCACACACGCGCGTGCGCGCTCGCATGCACACACACCGAGTTACCATCGCTATCATTGCCTCTGGCGATGGGCGTCAAACGGTGTGTGTATGTGTGTGTCGCTCTCTCTCTCTGTCTCTCTCTCGCTCTCTCTCGCTCTCTCTCTCTCTCTCCCCCCCCCCCCCCCCCCCCCCCCACCCACACACACACACAGACAGACAGACACACGCAACACAGTGACACTTATAGTTATGGCAGGTGACACGGAAATCCGTGCAGAGTAACTGTGTTGTAGATTCTGATAGGACTGGTGAAGCGAAGCACATTGACATAGACACCACCAACTAACTGTGCTATATACAGGTCTAGTGAACTCAAAACTGCAAAAAAAACGACACATCAAGAGAAAAAAAGCTAGTGTGGTGGAGAAAAAAGCAAATCGGAAGGTACACAGAGCAAGGGGCAGCAAAGCACAGAGACGGTAAAACTTTCTAAGATTGCGCAGTCAACGAGCACAGGCCACCGACCATGTACGCAGGGGCACGGCCCTTGCCATGCACACCGTGCGTGTCCGGTGCCAGCAGCGTAGGGGTAAAGACACGGACAAGGGGGCAGGGTGGGGGGGAAGAGGACAGTAAAAAAAAATAACGATACTAAGTGGCCTAGTGAAAACGAAGCGTATAAGTATAATAACGGAGGGGCTGTGCGACAAGTTTGACAGTCAGGGTGCATAGGCATGTGCTAAGAGAGCAGATTCGGCAGACACTGCAGCCATTATCTTGGAGGACAGCAGAAGCCGACAGGCGTGACACATTTCGTGGAAATCAGGCAGAGCAGCGCCTCACCGGCTGCAGCAAGCGGCGGCGGCGGCAAGACGAAGACGGCAAAGTAAAATACGGCGGCAGCTGGCCAAGCAGCAGAACGGTGCAGGGCAGACCGACGGGCATAGAGTTAGTGCAAGCAAGCCTTGCTCGGCGGCAGGGGGTGTTGAATACGGATCAAGCGGTGTTCTCGGATTTGTTCAAGCTAGGCGACTTCAGGCTAGAAAAGAGAGAGCCGGATGAAGTAACTTCTCAATGCTAGAGAGCAACCCCAGACAGGCCGGGGCAAACATAAGCAAGCAAGGAAATAAGTAGGAAATGAGTAAGATATGTCTAAGAATGGGTATGTCAGTAGGAGCCAGTTGAGACAGATGTGCAAAAAAATACTACCACCCGGAGGTTAGCAAGACATGAGCATAGCTTCCAGGGTGCCAGTCACTAGAATACACAAGACAGCAAGACCACAAAACGAACAACAAAACACCACCCTCACCCTCACCAAACAACAAATTGACAATGGCGACAACACAAAAAGATACGGAACTAGTGGAAACGAACCAAACAACGAAACGGCGAGAAACGAAGCTGCCCGCTGGAAAGGCGGACGAGCCAACCATAGCACGGAGATATACAGCTCCTGACGCAGTCGTGCGGAAACGCGAGTAGGTCCCGTGAAACACAATACACGGTAAGTGTCAAGCAAGGCACAAACTGCAGCTCCAGCGACATACCAACAGGCCAGGGCAGGGCATTATCAAACACGCCAGCAGCCAGGGCAGGCGTTGTCAAACAGGCCAGTAAGAAAGCAGTACAGACGGCATCCATTGTTGGATGTGACCATCCACACTCACAGACCCACTCGACACAACACAACATCTGAAGTGTGTGCCCACCCTTGCTCAGCTACTGCTAGCTGGCTGGATAGTCCCACGGAAAGCGGGCTGTCACAGCTCCTGGATCCACGCCGCCCAGGCCGGCGAGGTAGGACACGTCGTTTAGCGCCACCGCCGCACCCTCCCGGTCCAGAAAGAACTGCTGCTGTTGTCGTTGCTGTTGGTCGTAGCCTAGCGGTATGGGTAGCTGACCGAGTGACACGGAGCCCTGCATGTACGGTGTAGGTATGCAGGTGTTGTTGGGCAAGATGGTGTTGGCTAGAACACCAGCACCGCCTGTATCTACCAAAGACACAGCAGAACACAGAGAATAGAGAGAGAGAGAGAGAGAGAGAGAGAGAGAGAGAGAGAGAGAGAGAGAGAGAGATAGATAGAGAGAGAGAGCGAGAGCGAGAGAGAGAGAGAGAGAGAGAGAGAGAGAGAGAGAGAGAGAGAGAGAGAGAGAGAGAGAGAGAGATAGATAGATAGATAGAGAGAGAGAGAGAGAGAGAGAGAGAGTGAGAGAGAGATAGAAAGAGAGCGAGAGCGAGAGAGAGAGAGAGAGAGAGAGAGAGAGAGAGAGAGAGAGAGAGAGAGAGAGAGAGAGAGACCGACAGAGAGATGGACACACAGACAGATAGAGAGAAAGATAGAGAGAAATACAGAGAGAAATAAGACGACCAAAGAGAGATAAAGAGCAAGGTTGCAATGGAAAACACAGTACGAATACAGTGCAAACACATCCACAACATCTACCCAGTACATTGAGAAGAATGAGAAAAAGCCACCCTCGCCTTTTAATGCTTACAGACACAGTACATACAATGAAAACAATTGCACGTCCCTAATTGTATGATCCGTACAATTCTTCCTGCTCACAATCGAGGTTTGAAAAGGAAAAAAACACGAAAGGAACTTGACCTTTGACCAGGTTACCCAAACTGTGCAGAGATAGAATACAACAAAAAGCACGGCGCTGCACCAACCCTGCATTATCACATTCAAAAGTGGGTTTAGTGCTTCAGCTTGGTCAGAAAAAAGGTTGAAGTGTAGTCCCACCCCCACCACAGGCGCTCGTATTATCAGAAAAAGGTTTTCACAAAAAATGTAAATTTTCTTGTTCATCACATCCAGACCAAGGTTCCGATTGAGGAACTGTGAACTGGTAAAAGAATCCTTTGACACCTTCGTTCGTTTTCATGAAGAAGGTTCATTTGGCAAATTGAGACCTTCGTTTCACCCCTATAATGGTTCGTCATCTTTCTGTTCGTTATTCCATAAAACATTCGTGAAGTGTCGATCCAGCTGGTACTGTTGATTGCAGTTGTATAAAAACCTCCAGTAATTTGCGTGTTCTAAAAAGCAGTTAATATTTCTGGTATTAAATCACTCATATAAAAAACCTGGTGCTATAAAAAACCTGTATAAAAAACCTGGTGCTGTAAAAAACCTGTATAAAAAACCCGGTGCTGTAAAAAACCTGGTGTCATAAAAAACCACTTTTTAGGAAAATGACTGGAGTTTTTTTAATACTAACATTTAAAACGAACTTAGAAGCGTGAAGCGTGTGCTCCTCGTTGGAGCAACCAACTTCTTTACTAACATTTAAATATAATATAAGCTGAGTCCCAAGTGTTTACAAGAAATAAAAAACCGAGGCGAATTCTATACGTAATAGACAGCAGTAGAGTAGTCAGAGGTCATGTGACTTGATGAGAGTGCTTACTTTGAGCAGTGGATGGCGATGCGTTTTCGGCACGGTGGCCCATCACACACAGATCCAGCCAGCTGAGTTTGTCTGTAGCGTTGGGCAAGCTGACAACCGTAAATGCACTATTGCCACCTGCACGAGGGCAACAGACAACAGCACAGCATGAACAAGGACTGCATGGTATTCACGGCCGGAGAAGAGACAGATCAGCAACGTGGAAAGCAAAGTAAAGACAAAGGAGAACGAAGAGAAAGAGAAAAAACGGTGACGTGGAACTTCACAGTCGTCGTCACCTTGCTGCGAAGCTTGGCAAACTACCAAAGTAAAAATATTATTCGTCATAGGCATCCAGGCAGACGCATGCAAGAAGACAGGCACACAGGCAGGCAGGGAGAGAGAGAGAGAGAGAGTGAGAGAGAGAGAGAGAGAGAGAGAGAGAGAGAGAGACAGGGAGAGAGAGAGAGAGAGAGAAGAGAGAGAGAGAGAGAGAGAGAGAGAGAGAGAGAGAGACAGGGAGAGAGAGAGAGAGACAGGGAGACAGGGAGAGAGAGAGAGAGAGAGAGAGAGAGAGAGAGAGAGAGAGAGAGAGAGAGAGAGAGAGACAGGGAGACAGGGAGACAGGGAGAGAGAGAGAGAGAGAGAGAGAGAGAGAGAGACAGACAGTAAGTAAGCACTAGCAAAAGCCACATGGACACACTCGCTTACCCCGTTGTAGCTGCTGCTGTTGTTCCTTTTCTTGCTCCAAGGCTGCAGCTGCCGCCGCCGCAGCAACGAACGACCCGTGCACTTCAGACTCTGTGACATGGTGATGATGGTGATGGTGATGGAGAGGGTCGCCGACCGAGTGCTGCGCAAATACGGAGTCATCCTTGCCGCCTGGAGACGCAGGAACAGCGCCTAGCAGAGAGGACGGCGCGAGCGGCGCCGCGATATCCATGAAGTCCTCGCCACCCGTCCCACCACCAGCTGCAGTGCCACCACCAGGAACAGCGGCACCTCCGATGGCCATCGGCGATGGTATCATACTACCCAGCATGGGTAGGCTGGGGTGAGAGCTGTACACCGGCTGCATGAGCGACGACGGCGAGGGGAAATCCCCCGTGTACAGATTCGATGCGCTGTGCGTGCGGTGCAGGTGACTCGTAGCGTCCTCGCCCGGCATTCCCGTAGTGACGACGGTGGCAGCGACGGCGGCCGGTAGAGAGGTCAGCGAGGACGGCCCAGAGCCTGCGCCCATACTGCCCACATTGCCGGCGACAGCTGCCGTGCTAGCCAGGTCCATACAGGCCAGGCTGCCAGGCTGTGGTAGAGGCAGGGATGTGTCACTGAACGCCATGTCTGCGCAGGAATACATGTCACACACGAACGGTGTACTAGTAAGTAAGGAGTACAGCATCACACACGGACATTGTAGGTAAGCGCAGACGGAGAAGAACACATGAGCGCATGCCACTAGTGTAGCTTCAAGTCTTAAGGGCAATGTGTAACAGGGGCTGAGAGGAGTACTGCTAGTTAACCCTTTCACTACCCATTATTTTCGCAATTGAGTCAATTCACAGTCTACAAAATACTTCGTCGTGCGCCAATTATGGACCAAGGAGTGAAAGTGATAGTTGCAGTCGATAGTCAAGGTCTTTCTGAAGACGTAGAGCCATCATTTGTAATAATCCGACAATATTTGAGCGTGTGACGAAATATTTAGTGATCGCCTATTGCATCGATCCACATGGATCGATATTTGAATGGCTGGTAGTGAGAGGGTTAAGATAATCCACATGACACACAGGTCACTCTACTACCTACAATGGTGATACATGTGCCCCAATACACACACACACACACACACACACACACACACACACACACACATACACACACACACGCGTGCTTAGGTTTTCAGCATCAGCTGCAAGCCTCAAACATAAACCAAGGAGACAGTGAAGGCAGCAGTAGCAGAAGCAGCATTGCAGAGTAAACATGACATGCCAACAAACACAACAAGTGTACACCAACAACAGCCAACACGACACGGGCACTAACCTTCTTTGCTGATGATGTCGAGAAGTTCATCCATACTGCTACAGCGCACACCCTGAACACCAGCAACCAGCAGAACACACACACATACACACACACACACACGCACACGCACACACACACACGCACACACACACACGAACACACACACACACACACACAAATAGAAGATCATAAATTAGTAAGAAAACAAAAGAAGTTCTTACCAAGACCCATAGCAAACAACAGGATCGTGCCCAGACGGATGGAGTAAAGTCTCTCTTTGGCCATCCTCTTAGATTTCCGGCGGAAAAAAACTGGCCTCAAAAGAAAGGCAGTCTATCCAAACAGGTCGGAATGCAGAGTACTGTGAAAGCAAGTTTTTGCACGGACATTTAATTTTCTCAGATTCATTCAAAGAGGGGCTGAACTAAATTTTAAAATCCTGAACCACTAAAGGGTGACTTGTTCAGCTTTTAATGCGTTTCGTTCTCCGTGGGCAAAGTTTCCAGCATATGAACTTAGCAATTGCTTTGAGTTGGACGAAACTCTCGACTACCGCACAGTCTTGCGAGAGCACCCCACCTTGACATTACCTCCAGGGAAAGGAAAATCATACGGCAGAGTGCAACGAAGTTAGTACGGTGCGAGCTGCAGTGCACTAAGGTCACACTTAACATGTTGCTGTGTGGAGCTCGCATCCGCTAGAAGGAAAACTTACATGTTGTTGGTTTGACAGCATGAAACAAGGTGGAGGACACCGTGTTAGGAAAATGCTGTCAAACCAACAATATGTGTGAACTAAAACAAGGTAACCTAATACCATAAGGTAAACTTAGTACGGATTGACAGCCCAACGTGCAACGTGTGTACAAGGTACGTATCGTAAGGTACGTATCGTGTGACCTACGTGCCACCTCCAAAACACGGCCACGAAAAGGTAGCGATGGTGGGGCGCTCTTGCGGTACTTTGAAGGAAATGTTCCTCTCATATAGTAAGGACGTGAAGCGATGGTGGGGCGCTCTTGCGGTACTTTGAAGGAAATGTTCCTCTCATATAGTAAGGACGTGAAGCGATGGTGGGGCGCTCTTGCGGTACTTTGAAGGAAATGTTCCTCTCATATAGTAAGGACGTGAAGCGATGGTGGGGCGCTCTTGCGGTACTTTGAAGGAAATGTTCCTCTCATATAGTAAGGATGTGACAAGATCGGTCTCTAAAGATACAAGCACCCCAGTCTCCTAATGCAGTTGTTTCAGTGGCTGCCGTACACAGATGTAAAGGTATGGACACGTTGCCTTTCATTAATTTGAAAGGGATTACTGCTCAACAGCAAGTAACAGTATGAACTATTTTGAAGTAACAGATATCATATCCAACAATTCACAGTCGTTGGACGAGAGCTAAGCAATCAGATGAACAGGCACACCCACCCACACCCATGCCCACACCCAAACGTACACCCATACCTATAAACACACCCACACCCACACCTATACCCACACCTATACCACCACATATACCCACACCTATACCACCACATATACCCACACCTATACCCACACCTATACCCACACCTATACCACCACATATACCCACACCTATACCCACACCTATACCCACACCTATACCCACACCTATACCCACACCTATACCCACACCTATACCCACACCTATACCCACACCTATACCCACACCTATACCCACACCTATACCCACACCTATACCCACACCTATACCCACACCTATACCCACACCTATAAACACACCCACACCTATAAACACACCCACACCCACACCTATACCCATACCGATAAACACACCCACACCTATACCCACACCCACACATACACCCATACCTATAAACACACCCACACCTATAAACACACCCACACCTATAAACACACCCACACCCACACCTATACCCATACCGATAAACACACCCACACCTATACCCACACCCACACGTACACCCATACCTATAAACACACCCACACCTATAAACACACCCACACCCACACCTATACCCATACCGATAAACACACCCACACCTATACCCACACCCACACGTACACCCATACCTATAAACACACCCACACCTATAAACACACCCACACCTATACCCATACCGATAAACACACCCACACCTATACCCACACGTACACCCATACCTATAAACACACCCACACCTATAAACACACCCACACCCACACCTATACCCATACCGATAAACACACCCACACCTATACCCACACCCACACGTACACCCATACCTATAAACACACCCACACCCACACCTATACCCATACCGATAAACACACCCACACCTATACCCACACCCACACGTACACCCACACCTATACCCACACCCACACGCAACTTACCGAGTCGACGTTCATGGGCGTGCCGTCATGGGAGAGCGAGCCGCTAAACGATGAGCTACGCGGATGATAGAACGCCGACACATGCCCAACACCAGCACCAGCACCAGCAGCACCGTGTTGCTGAGATTGTTGGTGCTGCTGATCGACACGCGGATAGTCCGCAGTGGCCGTGGCCATGTGCCGCGAGATCGTCCGCGGCGACATTGAGCGCAGCGTGCGCGGCGACCGGCCGATTGGCGACCCGGCAAAGTCCACCGAGCCGCTGTCGGCGCGTCTCCGTGACGACGGGCTGCAGGGCTGCGAGGAGCACCGGTTGCCCGGCGACCACGGCCCGAGAGACGGCAACGATGCGGCCGCCGAAACACCCGGTGATGTAGAGTAGTCGGGCATGGATACCTCCATGGAGTGGAACAGCAGTGGCGAGGAGCTCATTAAGTTGTTGGACCGCGGACTGCCAAACGAATGCTGCGTGGCGGCAGACGGCGAGCCGAACGGTTGGTACGGCGACGGAGCACACGGGATCTCGGGAAACGTGAGAGGCGACGATGTGACCGCGCCCAGCACCGTGGAGCCCTCCGTCTTGCTGCGCGTCCGGTAGCTACCGGATGGCGATGACAGCGAACGTTGCCCGGCGGCGACGCTGGGTGATGTGCTGCGCGGAGAATGCTGCTGTTGGTGATGATGGTGATGATGGTGTGCTGCTCCCGGACCGTGCTGGCCGGGTATGGCGCCGGAGAAGGACGCAGACGATGGGATCGGCGTGGGCTGCGAGGCCATGCGACCCGTCCGCGACGCCCGATGGTGATCGTCCAGAGCTACGGCGGCTGCGGCGGCTGCAGCGGCACTGCTACCATTGGCCAGCGCCGCCATGTGCAGGTTGTGCTGGCTGGAGTGCGGCGAGTGCTGAGGCGACTGCACAGGGGAATTGGGCATGGAGAGCGAGCGCGGGCTGCGGCAGCCGGGGCCCGTCATGCTGGACGAGGACGCTGCGCGGGCGCGAGGACGTATCGGCGGCGACTTGGGGGAGTTGCTGAACGAGTTTGTGCGCTGCACGATCTGCGCCGGGTACGTGGCGCCCTGCGCCAGCGGGGAAACGAGAGCGGCGGCGCTCGAGGGGACAATGCGTGGAGAGAGTGGCAGTACTGTGGGTGCTTCGGCTGGACCGGCCGGCACTGCTGCCGCTGCTGCATTCGGTGCAGGGCTGGAGGGCGAAGACGGCGACATACTGAGGGATTTGGAGGCGCGCAGCGGTGCGTGCATGTGTAACGTACCTGCCGCAGTGCTCGTAGGCATGGGCACAAAGATACCGCCAATCATTGCCGGCGTTGCTGCTGCTGCTCCCACCGCCGCTGTTGTTGACGCTTGAGAGGCGGTCGCCGAAGAGAGTTGCGGTCCGGGCAGGGAATGCTGTCGATGCGGATGGTGGTGATGGTGATGATGATGATGGTCGCGCCCGGACGCACCATGACCAGACTTGCCACCACCGCCCAGCGTCGACACCCAGGACTGCTTCTGATTGGCGGAGCGGCTGCGGCGCTTGTTGCTGCGCTCGCGAAGCGTCGGCTCGTGCTGCATCTCGGCAATCTGCTGATTCTGCGAGGCCAGGAAGTCGGCGTCGCGGTGCCGACCGCGCGAGCCAAGCTCCTCGCGTTGCCGGTGAGGGGACAGGACTTCGCTACTGGAGCGTCGGCTGGGCAGTGACGATCTCCTCTCCTTTTCCTGCTCCTCGACTTGCTGCTGTAGTGCCTGTTGCTGCTGCAGTGCCTGCTGTTGCTGCTGCTCAAGCTTCTTCTGCTGGTTGGCGTCAATCTTGCGCTGCGTGTCGTCGAGTTGTTTCTGCACGAGCTGCATCATCAGGTCCTGCTGCTGCTCAGGCATGAGCAGGTTGAGCGCGTCGATGTGCTGCTGTCCGTTGGCAAGGTGATTAGGGCGTATGGCAGTGGGCCTGGCCAGGCCGGACAGGGCGGCGTTGCGCAGTTCGCTACTCGCAGTGGCCGAGGACGCAGAGCCCACGCTGCTGTTGTCGTCAGACCAGATGCACACGGGGCTCGGCACCTGGGCGGCGGACGAGGCGTCGCTGGCACTGTCGACATCGCTTGCCGTGCCAGCGACCCCATTGCTGACGCAAGCTATGCCGCCACCACTGCCAGCTACGTTCAACTGGCCATCAAGCAATGGCGGGGCGGACGGCGGCCGCTCCAGCTGTGGCGTGGGACAGTTTGACGAGGAGGACATGGGCGTACCGGTGGACATGCGAATGACATCGGACGATGCTCCGGTGCTTGCTGGCGACATCGCCACGCCAGCACTGCTACCACCACCACCGCCATTACTGCTGGCCATGCTGTCTGCCGGTGACGGCGGTACGCTATCCAGAACCTGACGTGCCATGCTGGACGACGATGATGACGGCGCCGGTGACGACATGGAGCGTAGAATGCGTGCCGATGCCGTCGTCGCTGCTGCACTGCTATTGCTGCGCATGCTGGCCGCGTGCTGCTGCAGACGCTCGATCAGCGCCACCTTGTTGCCGGACTTCAGCAGGCCGTTGCGCTGCAGCTCTGCGCGCAGCTCCGCCACGCTGAAGCGGTTCAGGTCCACATTGGCGTAGCCGTTGTGCCCGTTTAGCCAGTTGTTGGACGCCTGCAGGGGAACAACGGCAGCGAAAGCGAGAGCATGATCAGGACTGGAATCACTGAATGGCCTTAGCACAATCAACTGCAGTAAACCTGTCCCAGAGGACCACTACAACTAGGACCAAGAGTACATAACCCCCCATCAAGAGTACATAACCCCCCATCAAGAGTACATAACCCCCCAAGAGTACATAACCCTCCAGAGTGTGCAACGCCTGATCCAACTCTGCACAGGGTCTTGGTCGAGCGTAATCGCATCTTCTGATGTCATGCGTACACGCCACACCAGCACAAGGCCGGTCTCGAGGCAGGGCACCGTTGTTCTTGATCCGAGAGTACCCGCAACTCCCCGGGTTCCTCTCAGATGTGTACGGTATTATGACGCAAAGATGCGATTACGCTCGACCAAGACCCTATGCAGAGCTGGATCAGGCGTTGCACACTCTGGAGGGTTAAATACTCTTGCTAGGACCCATGGCTGTGTTACTTCCAGTGAAACGACACTGGACACCAAGACCAGCTGTACACGAGGACCACATGGGTAGGTGTCTTGAGCAGTCGCCGTATCACTGTACATAATACTAGACAGCTGGCCCCGCAAAGAGGCTACAGAGGCTGTGCGACTAAAGCCTGATTCCTACTTCATCTCGCGTACGGGAAACCCATCGCGCGACCGTCGTGCGATGGGTTTCCCGTACGCGACATGAAGTATGAATCGGCCTTGAGTCATCAGTTGATTTAAAGTATAGAAAAAAGGACCAAGAAACTACAAGCTACGCTATAATGTCCACTAACACCACCAGTTACTAAACAATTAGCTCATGCGATAACATTGCACGACACTGACCGAGGGCACTGACGTTCTACAACTAACTGGCTAACAGCTCTAGCACTTGTTTTGTATGGAGTGGCCAAGCTGTGGTACCATAACCACTGGTTTGCAACCCCATACATAGTATGCACGACGATGACATTCACTACATACAATGCATACACCATCATGTCATTCACAGAACTGCTATCATAAAAGTGTGCGTGTGCGTGTGTATGTGTATGTGTATATGTGTGTGTGTGCGTGTGTGTGTGTGTGTGTGTGTGTGTGTGTGTGTGTGTGTGTTGTGTGTGTGTGTGTGTGTGTGTGTGTGTGTGTGTGTGTGTGTTGTGTGTGTGTGTGTGCGTGTGCAACGCCATGCCAAATACTGTTGACTTTGCGATTTCTCTCTCTTCCCTTCTCTCTTCTTGTCGTTGTCTCCCGCTTCTGGGAGCGGCGTGGCCCGATAGGGTAGCTGTACATAGTAGTAGTAGTAGTAGTAGTAGTAGTAGTAGTGTGTGTGTGTGTGTGTGTGTGTGTGTGTGTGTGTGTGTGTGTGTGTGTGTGTGTGTGTGTGTGTGTGTGTGTGTGTGTGTGTGTGTGTGTGTGTGTGTGTGTAATCCCAGCACAAGTTGCCATGTCTAACATAGCTGTTCGCTATCATCGCTTCCGCGATGGGCATGTCTGAGGTCTGAGGTGTGTGTGTGCGCGCGTGTGTGTGCATGTGTACGTGAGTGCAGCAGCAGCAGCACAATCAAAAAGGACACCAGGAGGCCCACTGACCGCTTCTTTGCGCCGCATTTCGGCGAGCGCAGGCGGCGCGGGCAGGATGAACTTGCGGTTGGGATTGTGGAACTGTGCGTGAAGCAGCTGCCACTGCAGCATCAGCGTCTGGTGATAGAGCAGTAGCTTGTGCTGGTCGTCCAGTGGCAGCACGGGGAGGGGAACGTTCGCAGCCGCCGCCGACGCCGCTGGACTGGCGGGATCACTGCCGTTGCTCAGCGTAGCCGGGCCGCCGTTGCTGGACAGGCTGGCGGCAGCGGTGGCGGTGGCGGCGGCCGCGGTGGTAGCACTGCCGTTGCTGGCTGTCGTCGTCGTCACGACGGGCACGGCGGGAGACTCTGGCGGAGCAGTCACCGTTGCAACTGGCGCAGACTTTGCTTTCGGCTTGTTTGGCTGGTACTCGGAGAACTTGAGCTGTTTCACCTATCAACGTAACAAAGAAATAGAGAAAATACAGTGGGTGTAGAGCCTTTCCCGTTCAGTATAAAAGCTCCCTTCAAATCTAGCTAAATTTATCTTTATCTGTCTGTCTCTCCGACTCCCTCCCTCCCTCAGGCTCTCGCCCACACACACACGCCCACACACATGCACACACATGCACACACGCATGTACACACACACCTACCCCCCCCCCCCCCCCACATGTACCATGTACACACACACACACACACACACACACACACACACACACACACACACACATACACACCACACACACACGCCCACACACACATCGTCCAATAGCTAACCTTAGTTCGGCCCGAATGTCGCCGACGTGCCGTTTTCGGCGAGGTGGCGTTGAGATTCGCTGCGCCGCCGGCTCCATTGCCCTGCGCCGCAGTTGGTGCCGCCGCTGGAAACAGGTTAAGTGCCTGGCTGAACAGGCTGGCATGGGCAGCAGCATGTGCCGCGGCTGCCACGTGAACGGACGTCGTCGCACCACCACCCCCACCGCCAGACCTGGCCTGGTGTTGCGGCGTGGAGGCGGCCGATGGTGGAGCGCTGCTGGCAGTGGTCTTTGCGCGATGACCAGCACCTTTGGTGGCGTGCTGGCCACCACCAGCGGCGCCTGAGGTGGTGTGAGCGGGCGTCGACGGAAACGAGCCGTGCCGATGCCGCGGCATGCCGGCAGCCGACGTGGTGGTGGCTGTCGACAGCGACGGTCCCGCGGCCGGCCCCTGGCAGCGCTGGTAGTGCAGGTCGGCGCTCATGGACGAGGTGCGCGTGATGGACGTATCGATCTGCGCCGTAGTGCACACCACCGTGGTGGAGGAGGTGCGGCCACTAGGGATGAACGACATCTCCATCTACACACACACACACGCACCAGCAGCAGTGGATTCATACCGACAGAGAGATCACACAACAAATCACACATTCAATCATGAAACTATCATTACCTTACGGTCTCGTATTACAGACCGAGTTGTTACCACCGCCAGCCTAATTTCAAGATGCACAAGCCTGAAGATCGTGCCGACATGCCATGAAACTTCAGTAACAGTTAGAAGGTACTTCCAATGGACATAACAACTTTATAGACGAGGTCAACACCAACATACAACCAGCTTGTACACACAGCTACGGTACTTGACGTACAGCAGTACAGCGTAGTTAGTACGGGAGAATGTAATTCGGATATGCTCGTCCGCACGTCTGTTACAGTCCATCTGGTTTAAATTGCCATGCTGCCAGACTGAAGACAACACGCGTGTGTGCATGCACACACCGTGACACACACACACACACTCTCACACACACGCGCACACGCGTGCACGTACACGCACACACGCGCACACTGTCACATACACACACCGTACCGGCAGCTCGGTAAGCTCCCGCTCGTCCAGGAAGCTGTCACCACCCATGCTTGGGAGCGACGATGGCCGACGAAGATGCTCCTCGCTCTCTTCCTCCTCCATTCTAATTGCACAAACCACATGGAGACAATACAACGTTAATCTTGGGCAGCCTGTCTTTAGCCCCTCCCCTTTGCTCCAGATCTTCAATGCTGGCCAAAGAAATCCAACCTCATGAATAAAATAGCCCCGGGCACTAAATGGTCTGTACACTCTAACGCGGTCCTACTTTATTCATGAGGTTGGATTTCTTTGGCCAGCACTGTACGAATCCAACAGTGTGCAGCTTCTGACCTTTCTGCATGGGTGTGTGTCACGGCGAAATGCCTGGATTACATAACATTTGGTGCAGATCTGAGGCGGTGCGTGACGTAGCGCGTACAACTGAGCTGCAGTTGTGCAGAAAGAGGCCTGCATGAATCCTGCTTGTATACGCTACATCACCAAAGTGTTGTGGTCCAGGAATTTCGCCGTGACAGCATTCCATTCGAGCTACACACGCTGGGTGTCATCAAGAGTACAGTACATAACCCCCAAGAGTGTGCAACTCCAGCTATGGGGTCTGCGTACGCGACGGCAGAACTTCACATCACGTGCAGAACGCGTACACATGATTCGCACCCTGTGCACGAAAGATACAGGGTTGTACGCAACCCTGCTTCGGGTTCAACTCTCCTGTGGTCACTTTGCACTGTTTGCCAGCGTAACCTTTTGAACCACGTCACGTGATGTGAAGTTCTGCCGTTGCAGCACTGTATAGAGGTTGTGCAGGCAGTTGCACACTCTGGGGGGGGGGGGGGGTCATGTACTCTTGGTTTCATGCACCGTTGATTCTACCCCCCTACATGCACACTTTTATTATCCGATGATCTTGTTTTGTTTGCTATAATTCCGTGATTTTCTGTTGGTTGCTTTTCTGCTGTGCGAATAAATGCAGTGTCCACTTCTAAAAAAAATTATAAAAAGACTTAGTACAACTCAAAAAACACAAAAAAAACATGCATGCTTAATTGCCTACACACTACATGTATCAAGAGTACATAACCCCCAGAGTGTGCAACGCCTGATCCAGCTCTGCATAGGGTCTTGGTCGAGTGTAATCGGATCTTCTGATGTCATGCGTACACTCCACACCAGCGCAAGGCCGGTCTCGAGGCAGGGCACTGTTGTTTTAGGATCCAAGAGTACCCGCGACTCCCCGGGTTCCCCTCAGATGTGTACGGTATTATGACGCAAAGATCCGATTCCACTCGACCAAGACCCTATGCAGAGCTGGATCAGGCGTCGCACACTCTGGGGGGTTATGTACTCTTGGTATTATGGTGCAACGATCCGATTACGCTTGACCAAGACCCTATGCAGAGCTGGATCAGGCGTTGCACACTCTGGGGAGCTATGTACTCTTGCATGTATGCATGCCTGATCATGAGCAGTGGACATTTGGCATACAACCCTTGTGTTTGTGATGACAGTAACACGGGCATGTACAGACGCCACTGCAATGTGAGACCACACAGTCCTGGTCCCCCCCCCCCCCCCGTCTTGGGTATCAGAATGTACCGCATGCGCAACCCAGTAGTGAGTTGTGTATGAGGCGTGGCAACCTACTGTAGAACTAGCTATACCCCTAGCCAAGAGCACATACAGTGAGACCTGTCTAAGACGACCGCTCAAGGGGCCTTCAAAACATGGTCTCTGTTACCAGGTGGTCTCCTTATCCAGGGTCATGTGACTGGAAACAGCATCCCTTGGTCCTGGTTTCAGTGGTCTTCTAGGACAGGTGACAGGTTTTACTGCAACCCCCCCCCCCCCCCCCCCCCCCCCCAGAGTGCGCAAGTTCACTTATCAGATCTGGGACGGCGAAGTCCGTGTTGCACGTCATAATAGTGACATCATGAGTAGGGGAAGTGTGGACGCGGCGCATGGCGTCGATGGAATGAGGCGAGTCCGACCCAAAAATTGACGTACATCACGGATTACGCCGTCCCGCAACCCCATCCCAGTTGCGCACTCTGGGGGGTATGTACTCTTGCCCTGGCCCTATCCTGTTTATTGTACCCGTACTACAAAAAAAAAACAGTTCACAGAATGCCACCGTATGCATTTCCACCCTGCAGCCCCCTCACGGCACCGGGCCCGTACCGGGATAGCTCGCGGGATACGTTCGCGCCAAAATAGGAGTACATGTGACTGAATCTCCATGGCGGCATCACTCACGCGATGGACCCTGCCGTCGTGTAAATCGCCTCTTAAGAATAATGTTGTCCCTGAATGCACATTGCTCTACTAAGATGCACAAATGATGCAGGACCTATAAACGTACTGCTCAGCCTGTCCCATGGGGAGCTGCCCTCGCACACCACCCTCGCACACCATGCACACGTACATCCTGTGCTTTCGGGCTGTCGACGACGCACTGCAGTGCAGCATCGACGTGTGCGTGACAACCGCAAAAGTTGACTGGACTGCAACTTAGTCACTACTGCTGATCAATGTTGGGGTGAGGGTGGGGGGGGGGCAGGGGGAGAATGGGGGGCAGGGGGAGAATGGGGGGCAGGGGGGGGGGGGATACTGCACCAGCTGTATGCTCTGCTTTGGCGAACGGTTTGAGACTTTTGCGACGACATTACACGACCAGGTCTTGAGCAAGCAGGGGCTGAGTGAGTGACTGAAATGGAGAGTACTTCTCATCTAGCGGACAACATTCAGCACAGCTGGTCGAGCAGTCAGAGGGAGGGAGTGAGTGAAAGAGAGAGAGAGAGAGAGAGAGAGAGAGAGAGAGAGAGAGAGAGAGAGAGAGAGGGGGGGGGGTACTTCTGATCCAGGGACCAACATTCAGCACAATGCAGGGGCGTCGGACACGGTACGGTCACTACGGTATTGACCGTGCCACTGTCTGCCCCAAGTACCCCGTGAATCAATAAAATACACTGATTTGGGCTCAGAAATTCCAAAATTTTCGGCTCAGCCACCCTCCCTCACGAGTAAATTGTAGTTCAGATGGCCGACCGTACTACACTAAAATACCTTCCGACGCTCCTGCAATGGGTTGAGCTGGCGGGGAATGAGTGAGTGAAATGGGGGAGCACTACTCGACCAGGGGGCAACATTCAGCACAATGGATTGCCAGCGAATACTTTTAAACTGTAAGGCAATCAGCAGCATGCCCACACTGTGTAATTTTAGGGGAGTCCTGGTACATTGCATACAGCAGAAACAGACATTGACAGCCCACTGGACTGTCAACACGTGTAGTACAATGTACATGTAGCATGTGACCAAGGACATCGAAACTCTCCATATATCCATCGCTCTAGGCACACTGCACCACGGGTCCCAGAGTCCAAGGCAACCACTGAGCGAGAGAGCACTCACCGACTGCTTTTTGCCGTCAACAAGAACGTATGGAATTGTCCACAATGTCGTGAATAGTACTAGTAATCTACAAAAACTGATGGACAAGGATACATTTGGGGACATTCACAAATGGACACCTGCCCCTGCCCAATGCCTGCTGAACTTCCGACTGCTGGGCAGGATTTCTTCTGTCTTTCTCCCTCGCGGCGCCCTACCAGCCCTGGCACGCCACTATACACGTCTGGAACGCAGCTACATCCCTCGTAGATCGCCTCACACGACATTGCACTGCGAGGTTTCTACGCCAATTCTCATGGGTGACAAACACACAAGCCACGGCCCCGAGGCCGCCCAGACAATGCCAACTATACAATGGACGACCGACTGTCCAACAGGACGATCAACGGCATTTCTTTAACTCAAATACATAATACAGTCGGACAAACTCACCTCTGATTGAATGGGAGACGCCAGTTGAAGCAAACAAATTGCAATTATAAATTGTCAATATTATGCCACGTTTCCGCAGCTCTCCAAGACATAATTCCACTCGCGATGCGGCCAGCAGCACAGCGAGAGATAGGTCCAAAGCAGCGTACCAGCAACAGGAGCAACTTCACATAATCCTAAATCTGTCAATGGCTAGACTATCGTTCAACTTCATCGATCAAAGGGTCAAGTCCCAAAGAGTGCTCGAATAAACTGACACAATTTCAGTGAAGCTAGTCAGTGTGAGTGTGATCTCCTGAGGAGCTCATCATGCCAGCATAGCAAGCGTACATAACCCCAGCATACACTGCATATCTCTGTCATGACGTCGGTGGTGCATCAGCTGGGATCCCCGGGAACAGGGTTCAACAGGCATGCCGCATGGGGCGGGGGGGGGGGGGGGAGGTCGGGAACACATCTGTCTCAAGTCTAATAATACGCATCGAAATGACTCGAATTTGCGCCGAACGCATTTTTGTAAAGCTGATTTCCGCTCGTAGACCAGGATCTAGGATATAATATTATGGGCAAACGAGAACTGACCTGCTTGTACATGATAACAAGAGTACATGAAAACCGGTTTTCATGTACTCTTGATGATAATTATTATGACGTTGTGTACAAGTACGATGGCAATCAGTGGTCGTGTAGCTGTCTGTGTCACTGGCCCAGCTGTTAAAAAGTGGCTCTTCTTTCTCCTCTTCCGGAGTTCTTCCTTAGGCTGGCCAATGTCAGTCCAGGGAGAGGAAACCGGCATCCTGCTGTCGCCCGCCAGCTGAAACAACAGCGAACGGTAATCTTCCGGGGTGGGAGCAAGAGGAGGCTCCGAGCAGTAACGTTGCCGGTACAGTCTGTATCGGCTATAGTATAGTGCATCAAGGGCGTCGGACACGGTACGGTCACTACGCGGTTTTGACCGTGCCACTCTTTGTCCCAAGTCCCCTATTCCGTAATTCAGTACTTTCATTTCCGCTGCTAGGGTACCCTGTAAGAAGGCCTTAGGCCTGTGGGGATTGCCCTATCAAAAATTTAATAATAATAAGTACCCCGTGAATCAATAAAACGCACTGATTTGAGCTCTGAATTTCCAAAACTTTCGGCTCAGCCTTCCCTCCCTCACGCCTAAATTATACTTGAGTTCAGGCGGCTGACCGTACCCCACCGTAAATTGCCTTCCGACGCCCCTGCGCATCCTCTTGTTTCCAGTGTTTTCAACTTTTCATCAATAATATACACTACAAGCTACTTTAGGCATGGGCGGGTAATGTTATGGCTCGCATTATAGTCCCTTTTTTCCAGGTGGCATAATGCTGGCATATTATATACTTGTAGGGCTTATAGGGTTTATCGGGTGTTAGCGGCCGTCGTGAGTTCCCTTCGGGAATCCAGAACGGACACGATAATTTACTTTTTTTTTTAATGCTGGCATTATAACACCATTTCGCATGCAAAATTGGCATTGCAAGCATAATAGCCGGTCGACAACGGTGTCATGCATGAAGCTGGCTAGGTCCAGTTCCGAAAATCGTGCATCTGAACCCGTCCGGCTTCATCCGGAGACTTGACGTTGAAAACCAACCTTCTCAGGGGATTGTTAGTGGAAGCTTCCTCACTGCTGCTTAAGTTTTTTTCTTCTACGCTTTGGCCTTGATCCAAGACGGCCTTCTTAAATCGACTTTTCCAACTTTCAAACTGGCATTATGGAGTAGTGTGAGCATTATAAGCGGCATTATATCCTCATATCATGAGCATTGCCTTTAGTATTATCGCAGCAAATACAGTAACTAGCATTACCCGCCCATGCCTAAGCTACTCTAATTTCAGAAATTTTAGGTGCTCAATATTTTCGGTACTAGTGAGCGCAAAATGCCAGGTTAGCTTAGGTGAACAGAAATTTTAGGTACAGAGAAGCAGTTCCCGTGTTAGTGTTTGTTCAGTGCATTGAAATTTTAGGTATGAAACAAACACACTAAAAGTACCGAAAATCAAAAGAACACCGAAAATTTGTGAAATTACAGTATATGGCAAGCATATGTACACATGACTACAGTCTACACATACACATACATTGTACACAATGTACATGAGGTGTGCGACTGACCACGTCCACATGGTCATGTGCAGTGCGTAGATGTGTGCATGCAAATGACACTGAAATGTACGATGACTGTACACTATGTACAGTACAGTAGAGTTGTGCGCCGAAGAACGTCCAGCCTAAAGTTGAGAACGGCAGTGTTGCTTTTCCGGCAGCTTTTGGGGGTACATATGACCCAGTACGAACTGGTTCTAAGAACGTGCTATAAGAACACAGCCAGATTGCTGAAAAATAAGAAAGCCCGAGGCTAAGCCCTTGGAAACAACAAAATATATTATTGTATTTCAGGACAACGTTCTTGGACGCGCGGCTCTGCTCAGTATCGTGGAAATGTCATGCCTTTCAAGAAGCGCACATGCACATCCATTGCTGGCAATCCACCTGCTCGCCGCGTATACATGTGTCACTATACCCCATGTATCATTGCATGTACAACTGATTGCTGGTTATAATGATATTTTCAATTAATTCGAGTCTTTTTGACTGCAAAAATGCACTTTTGCTTGTGATATTTTGTTCTGATATCACTTTAGCCGATAACTTACAATGTATATCTGTACACCCGGTCACTCTATACTAGTCTATAGCGGATACAGACTGTACTTGCTGGTCAGTGCCGCTGAGAGTCCTGATTCTTTCGCTAGAACTCTGCTCTGCACTGCTGATCAACTCCGCCGTTGCCCATCAATGTACACACTTCGTAGTGTTAAAAACTCAAGTGCTAGAAGAAGATTAGAAGAAGCTGCTACTTGTAGTATACAGTCAACTCCTGATATAACCAAGAGTACATAACCCCAAGAGTGTGCAACTGCCTGCACAACCTCTATGCTGTGCTGCGACGGCAGAACTTCACATCACGTGACATGGTTCAAAAGGTTACACTGGAAAACAGTGCAAAGTGATCACAAGAGAGTTGTACCCAAAGCTGGGTTTCGTACAATCATGCACAATGTGTACGGGTTCATCACGTGATGTGAAGTTCTGCCGTCGCAGACCCCATAGCTGGAGTTGCACACTCTTGGGGGTTATGTACTCTTGATATAACGAACACCAGTGTGCAAGAGAATTAGTTCCGCTTTTTGCCGAAGTTTGTAAATATAACAGAAATGCAATCACACTATACAAGCAGCAAGTCGTGACTGGCAAGTGGCCCATGACTGTATGAGTGCACTTGGTTTACATGCGGCCCTACACGACTTGGATCGTTATGAACGAAATTTGTTCGGTACATTGAAAGGGTCAATCTTGTATGGATTGAAACAGGGACATGGACAATGGTTCGCTATATGCGAGTTCGTTATAAGTGGAGTCGACTGTAGACCATCTGAGTACATACTAACTGGACGACACGCATGAGCACATCAATCACCCCATGGATTCTGGTAACCCCAGGCCGACTCATGCCTACACACCGGTAACCGTTCAGCACGGTCGGAGTCTACGATCTGGATCTGTGGTACGGTCCTTTCCTTTGCGATGCGAATGCCTTTGCCTGTGTTCCTCAACACGTCAGGTGACGCAGCCGCGAATCTGGCTAACCTCACTTTACTACGGCATGCCAACACCATGGAGTCCTAAAATACTGTGGTATTTCACTACTCCCTGGTCGACACAAAACCAGACGTATAATATGCCGACGGTCCATCTGGTAAACAAAGGCTTCTGAGAATTCAGTATGAAGCTTTTTAATACAAGACACTGACACTACGGCAATTTTCATCAATCCCCACTCCGAATGCTGCTGCTTGTACTCCTTTATCCCATGCATGTACTGCGTTTACGGTTGCTACACTATGCCACTGCCGGCGTACTGAGCGAAAGGAAATTAACAAACTCAGAATTACTTTACCAACGTTGGTAATCCATTTTCTGCAAGATCCTGGTTCCTCCTCCCCAGCTGTGTGCTTGAACATAGCCACGTGCAGTAACTACAGGCACCCAGGTCTGCTACGTAATTGCACCTGACATATGCAAACAAATTGTTATGAAACTTCACAATATTCACAAGTACTGTACTGTAAGTACTGTATATGCTGTAAAAAACAAATTGAGGGAGTTGCAATCTGGAAAAGTCTGATGAAAAACTGACCACCACCACCACCCGGACTCGAACGAGGGACCCTAGCTTGCATGGCCAGCGATGCTCTAACACTAAGCTATGGTGTAGTCCGTGAGTTGTCATGCAAGCAGCGACAGGTCAACACTTTCTTCCACATCTACAATCAAGTAGACCTCAAAATGTTTATAAAATATAATCGTGGCTCGAACGGGGGTGAGTGCCATATTATCATGACCTCAGTGTTCTGCTCTTCCCGCACCTACCGGTACATGTACCAGTAGTAGAACACACGTAGATGTACGGCGGCTACTTCCACTAGTTCCAGCGCTGCAGACAGTTTACAGAACAAACCGGCTACAGTCATGATTGTACAGGCTACATCAGCTAGAACAAAGAATTGAATTGTTTGGAGTATGATTTCAAGCTACTTCGCCTTCACGTCGTTGGCCGTGAACGCTATGTATCTGAGCTCTGCAGCTACTAGTAAGGGTTCCGAATGAAGCGACCACGTAGACTATAATACTACCTGTAGTTCTTTTCGAGCAAAAAGCAGAGAAAGTAACCACAACATAAAAACAAACAAGATGAGAACATCAAGCGATGAGTACTCTTGCTGTAGACAGTGTAGTCTAAGAGAACGCGGGGTGTCAACTGTCTGTACACTGTACTGACGTCACATATTCAAAGTTTTGGCGCTAATTCACTATGGTTACCAAAACAAAAGCTTCCCCATTTGAACGGTCATTCTCGTGCAAGCTCCGCGTCCAATGAAGTGCAGGCGGGCAGCGTGTTCTCCAAGGTCGTCACCTCAGCTCATCTTATATTGGGAGACCGCGCCGTTGAGAGAGCATTCGGAAACTTTTAGTTGACGACCAATTTGAATCAATTTCAAGATGTCTGGACGTGGAAAGGGAGGAAAGGGACTCGGAAAGGGAGGCGCAAAGCGTCATCGCAAGATCTTGCGTGACAACATCCAGGGCATTACCAAGCCCGCCATCCGCCGTCTCGCTCGCCGTGGTGGAGTCAAGCGTATCTCTGGCCTAATCTACGAGGAGACGCGTGGTGTGCTCAAGGTCTTCCTTGAGAACGTCATCCGTGATGCCGTCACCTACACCGAGCACGCCAAGCGCAAGACCGTCACCGCCATGGACGTCGTCTACGCTCTGAAGCGTCAGGGACGTACCCTGTACGGATTCGGCGGCTAGATTGTCAATTCCCTCTCCGCTATATCCAGCAGCAAGGTCAACAACGACATCTGAATCTCAACCGGCTTTTTTCAAAGCCACCACATTCAATCAAAAGAAAGGTGTCTATGCTGTGCTACTTCGGTATTTTTTTGTACTAAATGCTTGCCGCCCGCGTACAATATTTTTTGTAGCCAGACACGAATTGAGCTCGCGGAACCGGGTAGTGGACAGCATTTCGGGAAGGTAGTTGATAATGCCGAGAGTATTGTTGATGGACTTGTTTTAGTAGACTGGCGCAATCTGTTCTGTATCTTTTCTTCCCTTCATCGTATTTATTGCATGCTTTTAGTACCGTACTGGTCGGAGAGAAGACGTACATACAGTCATGTATATGTTCCGAAATTCAAATTTCCCGGGTAATTTTTGTTGTGTACATGACATAAATCTAGCAGTACGTTTCGTACCACCTGCCGACATTCATCTCAAATCTCACTGGACTCGAGATATCGCGATCGCATCTGAAAATAAGTGCAATGTACTAGGGGCATGTTCGATTGGTAAGGATCGGGATCCAGATCTCAGATCCCTCGGATCCTTCAGATTCAACTGAACACTTTATCTTGGACCTTGACTGTTGTCATGTTGAAAATGGCGCTCACAAGGCACCCAAAAGGGTGAACGTCGTACTCATCGCGTGCGTCGTACAAAAAGTCAACAAACTCTATCTCCATCCACGTGTGCGTACCACAATGTGTACAAAAATGATTTTTACCCGCCATATACGCACAAAGGTCACATTTGGATCCGGTCAACCCTGCTCCCCGAGGTGGGTTGACCGGATCCAAATCCGAAGGATCCGGATCCGGTGGATCGGGATCCCGATCCTACCAATCGAACATGCCCCAAATTTACTTCACGCCAGGTTCTGGAATCTTTATTTCTTCAGTTCTAATATAAATTATGCAATAATTATAGAATGTGTATGCAGACTTGCCATTTTGATAATTTTTCTGACCATATTGATAAGACACATGCCCGACAACCGCAGTACATGTACATACTGTGCTTGCTTTCTTGGTCTTACAACAACTCCCTTCATCTCGCCAAGAGCAAAACATACAGTAGAGTCGTGCGTCGAAGAACGTCCAACCTGAACGGCGGTGTTGGTTTTCCAGCAGCTTTTTTGGGATACATAATGATCCAGTACGAACTGTTACTGGTTCTAAGAACGTAGCCAGATTACTGAAAAATAAGAACGCCCCAGGCTAACCCCTTACGTACTTGGACGCGCGCCTACTGTATCGTCTTATCGCCACCCTGGCTTAGTTGTTTTACTTTCAGTACACGCATGTCGCGCCAAAAAGAAGGTTGTTATTTGTCACCCTTGATTTGTCTGTCATCCGAAATAATGCAAACAAGATCAAACACCGCCGCATGCATGACCACCGACGGTTGCGTTGAGACATAAAAAATATATATATACCAGGACAGACAGGAAATAGACTATTAAAAGAAAAAATATCTACTAGATCATTGTTATGACAGTAAGCATGCAGACTTGGTAGTGCTAGAAATTAAAATCACTATGCAATGCGACAGCGTTACGGTCGTGTCGGATCCTCGCATTCCGTTGTGGGGGCTCTGGTGTGCGGTGGGTAAGAACGGGCGTATGCTCCGCTTTAGAGTTCGGTGCGCGCCTTGCCGTCGCCTTTGTTGAAGAAGGAGAGGAAGTCGGCAACCGAACGGCCGCCATCGTAGTCCGCAGCATTCTCGGCCGATCGCGAGAACGACTTGAAGCTCGGGAAGCCGCTCACTCCATACTGCGAGCAGAGGTCTGCGCAAAACGACACAGCGCACGCATTACACACACACACACACACACACAGCTCAAGCATAGCTGACATACCGTATAACTGTTATTCTCTATTATAAGCACAGGTCTCCATTACTAGCACAGTCTCTGATACTAGCACACTGTGAGCACCTTTCGAAACATTATAAGCACAGTCTCTATTATTAGCACGGTCTTGGTGGAAATCAATGCTGCATGTATGATATCTAGCATGAATTGCTCTGTATGGATTGTATTGGTTGAAAAAATATAAGCACGGGGTAGAGGGGTGTTGAAAAAATATAAGCACGGCGCTTATAATAGAGAATATACGGTAATGGTCTGAACGCTTGAGCGAATTCGTCTGCACCACAACTGTCGAACATTTTGCACGTGGTCATGGGCAGGGGAGTACATGTATGTCCTAGAAGTACCCAAAGATGACAGTGACACAAGCTAAACACTCAAACAGTACTAGTCAAAGTGACAGAATTTGCACTGTAGAAAAAAAAAGGAACTGTCTTCGCCCCATTCAGGAAAGATCGCAGACAGCTTTCGGAGCAGGCACCTTCTTCACACATTACAGCCGAATCCGCAACATCATAGTTCGGCAAATCTAGCGAGACGAGTAAAATTACGTCAATTTTTCAAGCACACTATCTGCCAGCAGCACAAGGCTGGACTGGGTCCGTTACCTGAGTTAGCAACACAGTCCACCACCGCGAAAATACGACTGTCGTCTCCAGCAAGCTTGGCAGCAGCTCCCTCGAAAGCTGGTTGAGCTTTGTGGCAGTGGCCACACCCTACAGCACACACACAACAGCACACGGAACAGCAGCAAACAAACAAAAAAAACAGAGAGATGTCAGATCTGGACAGACAAAGATACCGGGGGGGGGGGGGGGGGGGGCACCCGTTTGATCTCCTGTTACTACGCATGACGGATGGCATCAATCAGCCAAATGGGCACGAAACATTGATGCTATGAACACAAATTCTGCCATGGGTTGAGCGATGGTCGAGCTGCATACTCTTGCCTGTGTACAGTGGTGGCGAGTGAGATCCGACCCCTGGATTCTTTGTGAGAGTGCAGTGCAGCTAAATCGAACCGTAGCGGGTAGTCTGCGTGCCCCCTGGCAACGCGTGAACACCGCGTTTACGTCATTCCCTTTCTGGTCTTGCGTATGCACGTGTACAACGATATACATGTGCATGTATATCGTTGTACACTGTAGTGTAGATCTCCATATTGTTCCTGGTGGAAATGTAAGATGTATACGGCATGCGTATGAGTGCAGCAGTTGTAGATGTGCAAACGTGCACAGTTGCATATCTACCAGCTGCTGCACTCATATCTTCCTATACTTATAAGTGTGCCGCATGCTCAACGTCAGTACACTATACTTTATACACCGCAGGAATATGACTGCTGCACTCATACGCATGTCGACGCACACACACACGGACACACACACACACACGGACACACACGCACACTTCCCACTTACATGGAGCGAAGAACATGACCAGCATGGTGTCTGCAGACTCGGCAGTGACGGCAAAGTTAGCACTGGTCAACACGCTGACATCACTGCTCCATTCCGTGATCAGCTCTGGTTTCTTCGCCGGCACGGGGCTAGAACACGATAAGAGAAACACATTCGGTGGATGAGCTTCACATGGAGAAACACATTGTACAGATGGGGACATGACAATCCGAGTACAGGTCTACCCTCGATAGTAGACAAACCCCGGGGTTTCAACATGTTGTCTTGTAACGAGTATTATCTACTATTCGGATATAGCATGTACGACTGCTAAGTGCGTTTCAGGCATCAGGGGATTTGGGATCTATAAACGAGGTTTTGTCTTGTAACCTATGTTGTACTAACCAGGGTGGTAGTGAAAACGTGCACACAGCGGTTGCAGCCATGCGTACGAATGGTAAGTCCCGCGCCAGCTAGAGAATAATTGAATGGCCGACTAAAGTCGCACAGTGTGAGAACCGCTCAGAACCCTATTGCAATAAGGTCACACTTAGCATGATCTCGTGTGGAGCTTGGAGGTAAAGTGAGCACGGATTGACACGTGTGTACAAGGTGTGTGTGTGTGTGTGTGTGTGTGTGTGTGTGTGTGTGTGTGTGTGTGTGTGTGTGTTGTATGAACTACACAAAAGGGTCCCACCTCCAAACACGACCCCACAAAAGGGTGGCAGCGGTGGCGCTCCAGCAGTACTTTATTGTACACGCGGTACAATGTAACTACAGGTGTGCGGCTGCCCGTAAAGACAAGCCTGCCTGTATTGATGACCTAGCCACATGCATGCCATCAGCCCATTCAGCAAACCCGAACTCACTTCTTGAGGAATCGGACAATGTCGTCAGCGGTGCGACCAAGCGAGTAGTCCTCCGAATCGTCAGCTCCGCTCGGGAAGAACTTGATGGTCGGGTAGCCACGCACACTGAAGCGCGTTCCCAGGCCAGTCTCACGTGTGCAGTCCACAGCAGCCAGCGATGCTTCCAACTAAGCACACACAGGGAAAATCAAACACACACATGAGCCCATATACACACATCATGACATTGTATACTTCAGTTGACACTTTATTACGCCAATAG